GTAGCACCGGGTTAGTGAAAAGACAACAACCCAAAACAAAGGAGACATGCCTGCGCCTAAGCAGCCCCTTACTGCACAGGAGCTCCGTCCAACCAGCGCACACTCTGCTGCTGTGCATCAGCTCCCTGCTCTGTAACTGTGATGGGTGCATCCAGTGGGATACAGGAGATTGGCTCTAAAGGAAATCACAAAGCTAAAATTCTGTGTACACACACAGGTTCAAAGATATATTTATGCGAAAATCAGAGACCAAAAGCTGGTGGTCATTACTCAGGAGTTAATTACCTTGGTTTTGTGTTGGTTTTCTTGTTTTTGTTTTTTTGAGACAAGGCTGGAACTTACTCTGTAGACCAGGCTAGTCTTGAACTTAAGAGAAATACCTGCCTCTGCCTCCCGAGTGCTGGGATTAAAGGCATGCACCAACCACCACCACCCAGTGGTTTTTGGTTTTTAAAACTGGGGCTCTCATGGCCTGGAACTCACCATGTAGGCTAGGTTGTCGAGCCAATGAATCCCAGAGATCTGCTTTCTAGGGGCTATGCTACAAGTACATGCAATCTGGTGTCTGGTTGTTTTTTTTTTAAACACAGATCCTGATGATCCTCACAGGTATTCATGCTTGCAAGGAGAACAGCATTACTGGTCAAGCTGAGAAAAAAATGTTAAGTAGGTATGTAAGATGGAAGGAGGACATGGGAAAATTAGAGGAGAAAAAAATTATACTCTTAAAAAAATGTACTTTGAATAGAAGGTCACAGAAAATTAAAAAAAAAAAATGAAATGTACAATAAAACCTTTTTAAAACCTGGGGGGTGGGGTTTGCATGAATGTGTACCACAGTATGTATGCCACAGGAAATATCTAAAGTGAGGGGGCAACTTGCTGAAATCAGTCATCTACCACCAGGGTTTCTGAGATGAACTCAGGACATAAAGTTTAGCGCTATCTTACTAGACGGAATAAACCACAGAGAAGAAGTGTCAAGAATGCCTAAGCAGGGGAAAGTGAACACTCAGACTTTACCCAAATGACCACTGAAGAGCCGGAATGGGAGTGAGTTTGGGAGGAGATGTTGCTATGCCTTGGGGCTGCTCTTGAGCTTGTGGGCTCCAGTGATCCCCTTGTGCGTCCACTGCACTGCTAGGATGAGGTGGGCAAATCACTTCACCTGGCTGACATCCCGAATATTAACTTTAGATTATTTTCAACATCTTTGACATATACTGGTAAGAATCCACAGTAAAAAGTTGAATATCTTTGCAGAAAAAATGCACATAAATACAAGACTACCAAACAATTTCAGGAATTTCGAGCTCAACTAGACAGAACATCAAATTATTAGTTTAGGAAACTAATGTTTGTTAAGCCACAATTTGTATGAATCAGAAATTTCATTAGTGGATGTGTTCTGTCTGTGTGCATATACAAGCATCAAGAGAGGGGTGTGTGTGTGTGTGTGTGTGTGTGTGTGTGTGTGTGTGTGTGCGCGCGCGCGCGCGTTCATGCGTGTGTGGCAGAGGACAACTTGCAAAAGTTAGTTTAGGAGAAGATGGAGCTCAAGTTACCAGATTTGCTGGCAAGCTCCTTTTACCCATTGAGCCTTCATTGACACCGCTAATGTTTGTTGCTGGTTTTTATTGGGGTGGAAGAACACACCGAAACAAAACCCAGCTAAAACTGCTGGGTTTTAAAATTATTTTATTACTAAGTTGTTATCTGTTTATCATGTGTAGATGCCAAGGCTCGTGCTAGAGACCAGAAGATAGCTTATAGGAGCAAGTCCTCTCTCTCCAACTTGTGAGCCCCAGAGACTGAATTGTAAAGACTTAGTGGCAGGTAACTTTACCCACTGTGCCATCTCAAAAGCTTCTCCAAGACTATGACAGTACTCTGTTTTTGCTTTTCTTCATAAAGGGTCTCACTCTATATGTAGCCTGACTGGCCTGGAACTCACAGAGAGCTGGCTACCTATGCTTCGTGACTGCTGGAGTAAAATGTGTGCACCATCATGCTTGACCCATAGTACTGTCTTACTTATGCCAAGTCAGAAGTCTCAAACACATATAGGGCAGGGCTAAAATTTACGAATTTAACTGTGATGGCACCCAGAAGGATAGAGGAAGGAAGACTGCACACAGAAGGAAGCCAAGACTACCCAGGAAGACCTTGTCTTTTTTTTTTTTCTTAAGTAAATAAATAATTACTTTACAAAGTTAATCTTAAATAATTAAATGTGCCAACTCAGCTTTAGTGTTCTAGCAAAGAGGAGGACAGGTTCTGCCCACATGCAACCTGGCAGAACTATATCTAGGACAGAGGAAACAAAAGTAGATTTAGAAATGGCAGCACTGTGGCTATTCAGACCCAGCCCCTTCCAGCATGCCATATGGTTTGTACTTAAATCAGCTGGGAGTAGGGTGATAAAAGTCGGACTGGTCCCTGAGCACACTAAGGAAAACACAGGCATGATACCCTTGCTTTTCTTCATCATCCATTTTTCCCCATCAGCAACCACTGAACACAGTTCTTTTTGCTAGAAAACATCCAAGCAGCAGATTCTTGGAAACTAGTAAAATTTTTCTCTTCAGTACACTCACATGAACAAGTAACTTAAAAATACATAAAATTAAATCCAATTAGTTCATATACCTGCGTATTCAGAGAAAGCAAATTATGATGCAATGAGTGCTGTCCCATAAAAACTAAATAACAAAAATAGTCTATTAGCAAAGACATCTGGTGCATCATGACAAGGAACATTAGTGATATTGTCTGCAACCCTGTAATCAATTTTTTTTTCTCCCAACAGCTCTCTCATTACAATATACTGGATCTGTGTGCCTGCAGAATTTATGGCGGCTCCACATGGGGGTGGGAGCTCTGCCAACTGGATCCAGCAAGAATGACTTTGGCAACACGAAGCACCATTAAAGAACAATCAATACAATCAGCCTTATGCAGCAGCATCTGACTCAAGGAAGGTTCATCATGTTACCAACTCTCCTCCGATCTACACCAACAGTAGTATCTAAGGACTCCACCAATAATGAATTTATTTAAATCCTCAGTGGATGCTGAAAAAATAGCAATACTGATCATCACTAATGTTATTATATAAAGTTTACTAAAACCCAGAAAAAAATGGGCAAAATTTAAAATCCATTCAGCAAAGGTAAGAACCACAGCAAATAAAATTGTCTAACTTCACACTGATTCAAGTAAATCAAGAAAATACCAACCTGCAAGATAAACCATATTTCTCAAATACATAAAGGAATGATATGTCTAAGACTGAAGTCTCACATGAAGGCAGTCAAAATTACAGTGATTTTTTACTTAAGATGTGAATTCTATAGCTCTGAAGATTTTACCTACTCTGTCAGGTTCTACCTTACAATGGGTGTGCTTATTAGGTCAAGAGATTCAAGGCTTCCTTCCATATGAATCCTTTATGGTGGGGTCTAATTCTTCAGAAATACAGCAACCATCTAAACATGACACTGTCTTGACAATTACTCCTGGTTATGTTACACTTATGAGATGGGGGTGTTAAACTCTACAGCCTCAAACTCAAAACAATGCTCCTGTCTCAGCCTTCTAAGTACTGAGAATCCAGACATGGGCAGCCACACCCAGCTTATTGTAATTATTACCAGCAATCTCTACAGGCTTGTTCTTCATTTACGTAGGGATGCCAACCCTAGCCCTCCAGCTAGCATTACCTTTTCTATACTGCAGGCTGTTCTCAAGTGCATCTTCTGAAACAATGGCTTATTTTAAGACAGCTCAGTTGGATTCAAATATCTCTACTGTCTATCTCATAAAAGTCTTAAGCAGTCTAGCCTCTAAAATGTTCTGAGACCTCAGCCCTCCCTTGTCCCTTCACCTCTGCCTCCAGCACCCACTTACACGTGCTCTTCATGGACAGCCTACATCTTCTCACAACTCTGCGAGTAACCAGCACACCGTCTATACTGTTTGTGGCATATGTGTACATTTTCCTATCTACATCACATTGACATGTCAAAAATGTACAGCTCCTAGATTCTAATCCTTTTCACAAAATGTGCCCACATGCTATAATCCGCCGAGACACTAATCCTGTATACTACATCTAAATAAGTGCTCATGTGTTGACAGTATCTGGTACTATCCATGTACATGTGAGGTAACTGCCCTCCTGCATTATTTTCTAGTTCAGTGCAAACATAAATCCATCAGTCTAATTAGTCTTTTTTAGTGATAAACAGTCTTGGGCACTCAGTTAAAAAGAATAGACACCTGTCTTCTAGAAGAGTTACCACTAAAGTCCTCCAAAAAGGACGAGAGAGGTAGTCAAACGTGCACACAGTCCAGAAATGGGAAGCTAAGGCGCATAAACAAGCCCTCATGGACCGCCACTGGGTGCGCTCCGGACTCCTGGGTGGTGCAGCACAACCCTTGCATCCTGCTCTGTCTCATGCATCTAATCTTCTCATTATGTCACAGAGGGATTATCAGGGTGCAGCCAAGATTATCAGAGCCACCCCCAACCCCAGCCCACTGAAGGGCTTCTTGAGTAGAACTACAGAAAAGCCTCACTGTGTCCACTGAAGAGGGCAGCAGCCAAACAGTTTAGATTTGTGGGCCTGGAGTCCCAAATGAGCCTTGGGAAATGCACATTCCACACTTGGACTTAAACTTACCCCCTTTCCCCCATCTCAGTTGCCAACATCCATACTCGCTGCTGATTGCCAGCTCCTGCTCCTTGCAGCAGCCCAGCATGCTCTCTGCTGGCGCCAAAATATCCTCTGCCAAACCCCACTAACTTCTGGAACTGTCCTAGAGGGGTAAGGCAAGTCCCGTATTGTGCTTCCTCTGTGCATGTACTTATTACTCTTTTAAAAACACATTTCATACAGCACATTTTTAAAGGGGCTCTGGGAAGGGAGGTAATAGCCTATTTTATACCCTATGGGATATAAAATACTGATAGCTTTTAAAAACGGGATTCTCCTTACCCCTACAGGCCCTCTCCCGGCTTCAGAAAGGTGCTGTGGTGGCTGTGATGCCACCGGCAGAGAGCATGCTGGGGGGTCACACAGAGCAGGAGCTGGAGATCTGCAACAGGCCTGGGAGTTGTGGACCTAAAAGAGAAAACAGTTTTAAGTTAAGGTGCCCAACACCTCCATCCTGGTTACTAGGGGCACTCAGCACACAAGCAGGTGTCTGTAAGGATCCTTAAAGAGCACAGAGCCACTGACAGTACCAAAGCTTTGTTTCCCCGTGGAGTTAACCTTCCCACATTGGTCAAAACTTTTTCTTTATTTCAGTGTCAACACCTGTGCGACCCGCTGGATCTGTACTTTAACCTGGGTCCATCTTAAGAGCATGGTGTGTGCCCCTCAAAATAACCAAGTTAAGATGTAATACAGTGCCAAAGCACAGTAACAGCAGCATGCTTTGCTTATCATAAAAGCCACATTCCGGGGTGTCAGATCAACAGGGAGAGCCATGAGCAGACTGAGCTTTCAGAAGAGTTTCTTGGATGAGATGCTGGAAGCATTAGGTGTGCGTTCAACAGGAGAAAAGACCCACGCTGTTAGGGTGGCCAGAGAAAGCCCTGCACTTCCTGGAAGCTCTCATCTAATTCTGTAAAGCTGAAGGCAAGAGAGATAGACAACAGCTTAAAACAGGAAAAGCGAGTATACTGGAATGAGTTTTGGTTTCCTCAAAATGTCCCAAAAGTGAGAGTAATTAATAGTAATTAACATGTCAAGTTCAAGAAAGGCATTATTTCTTCCAGGAACCAAAAAAAAATAAATTAAAACACACACACACACACACACACACACACACACACACACACACACACAC